TTTTTATATTGGCAGACAGAAAACAGGTCTTCTGGGATTGATTTTTTTTTTTTTTCTTTGAGTAGAACTAACATGTATAGGGCACTTCTTTAATTTGGATGTCAGACAGACAAATGTTGTTGCTTTTTTTTAAATAGAAAGTTCTGAGTGGAGACTGAGGCAAGTTGAATGGGCAACGTAATTTAATTTTTAAAAGGAATATATTTTTTAACAAATTTGTCAAAATTGTTGGTTCTTTTCCTTGGGCACATTTGATTTCCCCCCTCCCCCAGTTTTAAACTGTAAAGTAATTTACCCGTGAAACCTAAGAATTTTGTATAATGGACATTTCTTTTATGTAGCTCTTTCCAAAGGGCACTTTTTTTTAAAGGGACAGCTGAGTTAAAGGTTTGGTTTTTCTTCTTTTTTTTAAACCTTATAATAGGATTATCTCTCTCCTTTTTTATCTCCGTTTTAAATTAATGCTTTATTTTGTTTCATTTACCTTTTTAGAGTTTGAAAACAGACCTAGTCACTTCTGTGTGTTCCATGGTTTGCTTCTTGTGCGCTACCATGATCTTCTGTGTTTGGGTTGCCAACAAAGGCAGAAGAACATATTTTTAACTACAAAGTGTACGTTTCTCACTGAAACTTAAACGCGACCTAAATGTTTTATGTATAGTTGCTTGAAAATCTTGATGTGAGGAGTTTCAACTTCCCTATTTTTTTTTTTTTTTAAACAAACCCTCCTGCGTTTACCTTAATTTAAAAAAGGTACAAGAACCAACAATATAAACTTCTTGGATCCCAATTAGCTATGCTTGCTTTATATTATGTAGCTAACTAAGACTATGAACATGGAGTTGCTTTTCTCAGGAAAAGTATATAACTAAAAACTTAAAATAATCAGAGATGCACTGTAATGCGCATAACCTTGAATGTATTAAGTTATATTTTAAAAATCCGAGTAACTTCTTAAAATGACGCAACAATATTTGTTATCCAGAGTCGAGTTTTCGTGCAGCTGAGTCAAATTCAGTTGGCAACCACTTGGTTTAAAATTATAACTGGAATGAGTATAATAAATGGGGGAAAAACAAAATGTTAATGCTACTGTTACAGTGAGTAGTAGAGAAATAAGTGATTGTTTAGATTTTATATTTGTATTACAAAATGTATCCTATACAAATCCTTCTATTGTATGTTTTTACCTATTGTACAACAAAATAAAATATTTTTTAAAAAAAATATAGAATAATCCTTAAATATTTACTAAATGTGTTTCTACATGCATATGTAACCACATTGTAAGAAATAACTTGCAATCCTTAACCTAAAAACCAGGATCTTAAGAGACAAGCTGCTTCATTTAATTTTGGTACAGTCACCAAATTTCCGTGTGTTACGTGTATGATGGCAGAACGATTTCTAATCTCATCCCTCCGATGTAGGACCAAGAACTTGAAATGCTTTTCCAAGACCATAAACTTGTCGACTTCAGTTCGTACTGATGTTGAATCTCCAGCTGTATAGAGCTCTACGATGTTCTATACGAAGTCCACATCCTCACCTTTATGGTCCTTGCAGCACTCTGTACAGAGAAAAGGTCCATATTCCCAGAAGCAAAAGCGTGCATGCTTGGTGGAAGTGCCTTAAAATGGCAACACATTGTCTCACTAACCTGAGTGTCATGCCTGTTAAGGTAAATGTGTACTTATGCAGGTGTGGGGTTTTACAACAGCGCTAGGATTGGCTGCCAAACCGAACCCCTCTCCTGCCTCCTGGACACGGATAAAGTTTTTTTTCCTCTCGTCTTCATGCACAAAGAGAATCGCTGGAAAGGACTTGCTGCTAGTGCACGTACGGCTGCCTTGGCACCTGGTGTTCAGCCTAGGCAGCTAGGATTATATCCCAACAGGACAGAAGGCTCACGCTGAGAAGCGGACTGACAGACTGCCTCTGAGTTCAGATATGCTAATCACTTAAACTTAATTGTTGTTTTCTTTTTAATACTAGGGGGGGAAATTCCTCTGTTAACTCTGGATTTTCCTATTCAAACAGGTTGAAATGGTTCCACAGACAGCAGTGAAGACTGGATTACAGAAAGGTGAGTTTGACTGATCTAAAAACAAATGTTAGCTATTAATACCAGGTCTACAAGCCAGTCACCCCGACTCGCTGGTAGCTCTCAGTCGGTGCAAGCTCAGTAATCCCGCTGATGTTTGCTAGTGATGTTTCTTTCTCCTATGAAGATGCTTATTGGTAGGGCTAGTTTAGAAGGCAGTGGGGGCATCTACGTACGTGCTTTACTGCGGAGTTGACTAATTAGCTCCACAGTAAAGCATCGCTGCCTGCATATGTGGTGCCACTAGGCTGGAATAAACTAATGAACTTTTGCCATAGGATAGTAATGCCCAACACAAGTACCGTCCTATGGCAGAGTTATTTAGTGTGTCACAACATATGTGTAGCCAGTGACGGGGGCTGGCTGAGACAGAAGGATGCTCCAGTGCAGGGGGCTTGCCCCACACCAGTAGCACCCTTGTGCCCCAGCCAGCCCCTCCACACCATGCTAAGCTGGGGTGGAGAAGCTTCAGACTGGCAGGTTGACTCCCTGGGCTCCCTGCCAGCTGGGTCTGTAATGGCCTGGTTCAAGGTGCTACCGTCTCAGGCCTACTTGTAAATGTTGCCGCCTGGGAGCAATAAGCTCTGGCACAAACTGTGGCAGAGTTTATTCAGGTGCACTAATTTCACATGTAGATGCACTTAGTATGTATTCTTGGTCTGCTTTAAACTTTTCACTCTGTGATTCAAAGTACTTCAAGTTGAAGTTTATGAAACTCTGAGTTTCATAAATGCTGAGTTGATTAAAATGAAGACGTCTCTTCACAGTAATGGTTGTAAGATGAATGATGGGTTGATAACCCGGCTGGCTTTATCCTTCCCTGGGAAGTGGTAATTTGGTAAATTGTTTCAGTATGTCACCCTGTGCAGCGGTTATGGAGAAGTTTTAATTTGTTCTATTAAATGAGATTTGGAAGCTGTTGACAGAACGCCTTTGCATTCTGGCCAGAGTGAGGTGTGAGGCCAAGTGTGATGCTTGCAAAGGCTTCTCTCTCAGCTTCATCTTTCAAGTCTCAGCTATTTCTCTCTTAGGGATTTAACAATTAAAAAGAAATTGCAAGCAATATTTTGGGATTAATTTCAGTATGTTGTGTTAAGGTGCCAGCGAGATTTCAGATTCTTGTAAACCTCTAAAGAAAAGGAGTCGTGCCTCAACTGACGTAGAACTGACTAGCTCAGTGTACAGAGATACGTCTGACTCTGATTCCAGAGGACTGAATGATCTGCAGGTAAATGTGTAATGTTTTGCACGCAGATTTTGTAGTTTCTTGAATGGAAAAATAGAAATAATTAAGGCTGCAGGCTATGAATAGGTGAGTAACCCAATAGACACATTCAGAATTGTTTTGCCTTTTTGAAAATCAGAAATGTTGTGGCAATGGAGAGTTTTTCATAAGGTGGGTTGGGGACTTGGGCATCCCTATGTATTCCCCCC